AAAAAAAATTAATTAAAAGGCTCATAATCTACTTCCTATTCATATTTATATTTATTAACTTAAATTTACCAGGTGATTGAGGATGTGAACGTTGTACTCAATTGCACCGTTTTAAAAGTCTCCAAACTCAAATCTGAAATCTCCCATCACCCAATCTTTTCTCCCCATTTGTCTTCCTCTCTTTCCCTTTCATAGGAGGAGGTAATACCTCCTTTAAAGAACTGTTATTCTCTAAAATGCGCCGTGTGCGCAGAGTGTAAACTATAAAGTCGTTGTGCGGTGCGGACCATGCGGTTCGTCAAAAAAGCGGCTAATGTTAAAGCGACACGTTTCGTGCGGTGGCGGTGTGAAAAAACGTTTCTTTTTAAAGCAGAAACAGTGGAAAGCAAGGAGTTAAAAGCTTGATGATGGCGACGGAGAAAGCTCATAGCTTTGGAAGCCAACTCCTTGGAAGCTGCTTCTTTGAAGAATAGGTGACACTTTGATCGCCGGCGGTTACTTCCCGTTGATTCTGGTTCTTCGTTATTCTCTGCTTAACTCAAATATTCTGTTTCAATTTTTCAAAAAAAATTCAAGCTTTCGACTTCTGTTATCCATGTCGTCCGATATAAGCTAGTTTTTCTGCACTCCCAGTGTTCTCTGCCAGCGGACGCTCTGTTCGGCAACCGAAGCTTTTGTTTTCGTTTAAACTTTTTCTGGGTTCATGGCGAAATGCAGCAACTTTAGCAGAGATCATCACTGTGCGGAATCCTTGGTGATCGATCTCGCGAGTTTGATTCTGTGATTGGGTGTTTGATTGACTGAGTTTGCTTGGGGTTCCGGAGTTTTTTTTTTTTTTTTTTTAGGCGGAGAGGGATGGGAACAGGTGGACTGTTACTGGAAACAGTGGGACCGCCAATAAAGCGGCGAGCAGGGCTGAGGAGGAAACAAGCAGGAAGAGGTTCTTATAGAGGAAGCTAGGCGCGGCGACCGGGGTGCGAAGGTTAGGGGCGGTTTGTGGTATTGAGTATTGAGCGATTTTTTGTTGTTTTTAGGGGTGGGGGCGTTTTGGAGAAATTTGTTTTAGTTTTCTGAGAGGAGAGATAAATGGGTACTACTGACTTGCATCAGATACTGAGAAGCCTCTGTCTAAATACGGCGTGGAAGTACGCTGTCTTTTGGAAGCTCAAGCATCGCTCTCGCATGTAAGTAAACAATTCCCAATTTTAATAAAGTTTTTCATTTTTCTCTGTTGTAAGAGAATTGAAGGGATGGGAAGGATTAATTCCACTGTTTTCGATTTCATTTTACAGGGTGCTGACTTGGGAGGATGCATACTATGACAAATGTGAGCAACAGGATACTTCAGAGAATAAGTGCCTTAGTGAGGCACCTGAAACCTTGCATGGTGGACATTATTCACATGATCCTCTTGGGTTAGCTGTGGCAAAGATGTCATATCATGTGTATTCTCTTGGGGAAGGGTATGCCTTGATTCACCAAAAAGAATATGCTGTTCAATGTCCTTGCGTGCTCTTGGCATTTTTTATGTAACAGTTCATGAAATATAATTAGGATGGTTGTCTGAATGTAGAAGTTACCACCCTGCACGTTTTATCATCAGCCTGCATCAATTAGAAAAAGAAGTTTCAGTTTATAAAACCTTTGCCTTTTACTCTGCTTTATGCTTGCGATAGTGGATGAACCAAGAATTTGCATCCTAACTGTGCAGATGGTGGTTATTTTGGCTTCATGATGCAAATTGTTTAAATTGCTGAGCCAAACAGGAACTTGTTCATGATTGATTAGAAGCAACCATATTGACAACTTATGTTGGTGTTCCTCTCTTGTTTTACAGAATTGTTGGACGGGTGGCAGTTTCTGGAAGGCATCAGTGGATCTTTTCTAATAAGCACGTTAACACTTCCTGTTCATCCTTTGAGGTGAGCAATTGTACCAAATTATTGAATATTGTTAGTTCTCTTATCTTTCCCATTATTCTTATTCTTTTGTTATCCCCCCTCAATGGGTTATCTTTCAGTTCTGTGATGGTTGGCAAAGCCAGTTTGCAGCTGGGATCAGAGTAAGTCTGTTTCTTTTTTCCTCCTTAAATATTTCAAGTTTAGTGTATATTAGTTTAACGATTACTAGAAATGAACACTAGATGATTGAACTGGTAAAACCTGGCTACTGATTGTAACTCCATATCTAAAGTTTTCCTTGTAATTAAGTATTTGTCAGTCTAATTGAGCACTTTCTTCTGCTAGGAATTTTGATTTATTTGCTATATTTCTGCTTATTTTGTTATTCTGTTAACCGTTTTTTATTTTTATTTTTGATCTGTAGACCATTGTAGTTGTTGCTGTTGTTCCACATGGAGTGGTGCAGCTTGGTTCTTTAAGTGAAGTAAGACAAGTTCTCATTGCGTTGTCCATTCGAAATATATATGTGGCTGTGAATATATATGCTTTAAACTAATATTTGTGCAATTTCTATGGTTCTGAGAATATGGCCTTTCCAAGATTCTTGTATAACAGAAGTTTTTTCTTTTATTTAGTGCTTTTGAAATGTTAGATATTTATGCTGAAGTCAGTAAGTTGCTGGTGTCTGAAAATGTTATTAGCTTATCTAGTTTTTTCCTGATAATCTTGAGATGCTTATTGACAGGTTGACTTCGCTTACCTCTTGTAATTATCAATTGTGTATGCTGATAAACAAAAAAAAATTAATTAAAAGGCTCATAATCTACTTCCTATTCATATTTATATTTATTAACTTAAATTTACCAGGTGATTGAGGATGTGAACGTTGTGAGGTACATCAGAGATGTCTTTTTAGCCCTTCAAGATTCTTCAGTGGGGCATTTGACCTCTCCAATTGAATGTAATATGAAGATTCCCATGGCTCAGGTATAACTCCTTATCCATATACTTTTGTGCATGAGTGTGAGAGTTCAGGCACTAGTACATGCCCAAATCCTTTTGTGTTGTATATGTACATTATGTATGGTAACAATATGTTATTCTCTTTTGCAGCCAGATTTACATATAAATGGTTTAGCTTCAGATGTTTTTTCTCTTGATAAAGCTGTAAACAAAGAGGGGCAAAATGATTTCTTTCCTGAGTTTTCATACTTTCAGAAGCATAGCCATAGTTCATATGTTTTTCCTATGTCTGATTTTTGTCCACAAAGTGCGGTTGAAGTTATTAATAAGAATGAAGGGGTTAAATTATCCACAGAAGAGAGTGGTGAGAACATAAAATTATTGACAACAAGGTCAGACATTGCCAATTTGGAGAGTCAAGATAAAGTAGGGATGGCGTTGATTGGCGACAGATTGTGTGAAGGGGAGACTAGTGGCTGGAAAAATGTGGTTGTGAAATCAGAGGAAAATGTCTCTGATAATTCTGTTATGACCAGTGTAAATTTTTTTAATGTTGCACTTCAAGCTGAAGAATTTGGAGTAGGTCTTTCATGCTTTGATTCAAATCTCCATGACTCTGCTCTAAGTGATGGAGTTAAGTCAGACGACATGGAATTTTGTCAAACTGAGGGATTGAAAATTTCAGAATCATCAGACTTGAAATTTCAGAAGGATTTTGAGAAGTTGGAGAGTCAAAATGGTTTTAACCACTTAGACTCAATGAACACTTTAACATTCACTGCTGGCTGTGAGCTTTATGAAGCCCTAGCACCAGCTTTTCTGAAAAGGAGCATCTCTGCTAATTGGAAAGCAGAGAATACTGAAGCTGGTGCAAATATTGAAATGCCAGAGGGGATGAGCTGCAGCCAACTTACATTTGAATCTGGCTCAGAGAATCTTCTAGAAGCAGTAGTAGCTAATGTTTGCCATATTAATAATAATATGGAAAGTGAGAAATCTTTCTGCAGATCAGTGCCATCAACGTTGACAGATGAAGATAATCAAGAGCCTTCAAGCCAAACCAAGTGCACTATTAATTCAGCTGTTTATTCAAGTGATCACCCCTCTCTTATGGAAAAGAACACACGACACCACATGAATTCTGTGGAGTTTTGTGGTGCAATGTCTTCAAAAGGTTTTTCCTCAACTTGTCCAAGTACTTGTAGTGAACAGTTGGAGAGGTCTTCAGAGCCAGTAAAGAACAACAAGAAGAGGACAAGACCTGGAGAAAATGGTAGGACTAGGCCAAGGGACAGGCAACTTGTTCAAGATCGTATTAAGGAGCTGAGGGAGCTTGTGCCTAGTGGTGGAAAGGTAACTTTCATGCAGTCAAGCTTAGTGCTGATGATTGCAGTTTCTATGCTTGTAAATATCAATGCACTAAAAGTTTCAAGAAAACTCTGCAGTGCAGTATAGATTCATTGCTGGAGCGCACCATCAAACACATGCTCTTTCTGCAAAGCATCACTAAGCATGCTGACAAGCTCAGCAAATGTGCCGAATCAAAGGTAAATGGTTGGGCTTTTGCCTGTATATAAACTTTATTGCTGAAAGGGCATACTATTTATATTAGTCAGGTGCAGTTCTGTCTGTTTATATTTTATATCTGAATTTGCAGAATCATTACAACAAAACAGGCACACAAGGATTATCCAAATATGAACAAGGTTCAAGCTGGGCAGTAGAGGTGGGAAGCCATCTAAAAGTTTGTTCAATAATAGTGGAGAATTTGAACAAGAATGGGCATATGCTTGTAGAGGTACGTCCTAGTTAGATAACTATGCTAGTGTAGTTTCATTCATCATCATTGTTATTTTTCCTGTAGATTCATTGTGGCGTGTAGGGGTAGGTTAGATGGGTGAAATTTAATATAGATTCATATTTCAGTTGTAGGAAAATTTTATTTCAATAAAGAAGAATGTAATTCAGATTTCAGAGGGGAAAATCCAGAAATTAGATATGGGCCTGTTTGGTGCAGCTTGTGGGAAGGACTTTTTGGCTTCAGAAGTACAAGCTGCACCAAACATTGCAACTAGTAAAAAATGCTATAACTTCTCACAAGTTAGCTTTTTTTCCATTTCATTGCAAATCTCAGAAGAAGCACCGAATTGGTGCTTCTGTAGGAGCTTCTCATTTGGGTTTTAATGAAATTAACACATTATTTCCATTTTATCCTTATTTTTCTTTTTATTTACAAAAACAACACTTCTACAACAGTTTTTTTCAACAGGACTTCTATTAAAAGCTCCAGCTACACCAAACGGACACGTAGCTTAATATTTTACTTATGTCCAAGGATGAATGTGTTGTTCTTTCACTCTTTGATTTTAGTTTGTTCTCTGTCTTAAGATGATTCTGGTTGATCTTCACAGATGTTGTGTGAGGAGTGTAGTCATTTTCTTGAGATAGTAGAGGTGATTAGAAGCCTGGGTCTAACAATCTTAAAAGGGTTTACAGAAGCACATGGTGACAAGACTTGGATATGTTTCGTGGTTGAGGTAAGGTCCATTACATGGGATGATTTATCTAGTGTAGAAAGGGACAAAATCTACAATTTGATCTTCTTGCCCTTGTTCTACAGGAAATAGTGTCATTAATGGAGATTAATTCATTAATCTCTACTTTTTTAGATTTTTCTTATTTTGGAAATAATTTTGAAATTTGAATCATTGCAGGGGCAAAACAACAGAGTGATGCATAGGATGGATATCTTATGGCCTCTTGTGCAAATATTGCAATCCAAGGCCACAGGCTAGTCAAAGTGAGTTGACACATCTTGGAGACTACCATATTGGCTCCTGTATAATATGTTGCAAGTGATTAGTGATTTTTCTTTGGAACTATGGTTTCTGCATCAATAATCCCCAGTTCCCATGGAAAAAGTAATTAAGAATGGGGATAGAAAGTGATAAGTGAAACTAAATACATGCTGTGTCAAGGGTGTTTTGTTCTTTCTTGATAGTGTGCTTGAAGATGTAGTCTATTATTTTCTCTTCTTTTCCAAAGTTTCACTGGACATGGTTCATCTGTTCTAAAGTTTGACAATTGAAATTTCATGGTTGTGCCTTTTTGCCCTTGCTTTTTCTGTGTTTCTCTGTTAGTTGCACATCTCCAGGGGGAAGTCTATATCAAAATTGCTTAACTGAATTTGTTGCATGATGGTTTTTGTTATCCGGTACTTGAAGTCATTATCGTGACTAACCAATTTAACAACGAAGAAAATTCACATATTTGAAGAGACATAAATAGATAATGTGTTTGGCAAACAATATTCAGTGTTAAAATCCCACATAGGATAAATATAAAGCATTATGGTTATTTTTTCACTTGTGATTTTTTTTTTTTATTTTGGTTGTACAATGGGAGGTAATTATTTTTCATTTCTTATTTCATTTTACCTACATATCATATGACTCGAATTCAGGATTTCTTATTTCCAGCGAAAGTTTTGTAATTTTAGTTGCACAATGAGAGACAATCATCTTTCATTATTTATTTTACTTCAGAGGCATATCATATAATTTGAACTTAAGATTTTTTACTTCTAGCGAAAGGAAATAACAACTGAGTTATTTAGATCGTTGATTTTTCAATTACGACTTAAGTAATGCTGACATGTAACCAAATGAGATATTAAAGTCTGAATGTAATGATGAAATGATGGTGCTTTGCTGTGAGTGCACCTAGTTGGCGTAAGTGTCTTCTTTCCTCTAGGTCATAAGGACAACTAGCTCAACACGGGTTGGTAGCGCAATTCACAAAATTGAAATTGCAATTTTAGGCTGACCATGTCGCTTTGGTCAATATGACTCACCTAGGCACACGCCTGGTCCACTCCTTCCAACACACAACCAACTTTCTGTTTGTTGTTTTATCCAAATTATAGGGAGAGTTTTTGGAAGAGTCTTAGCGAGTACTTCTATCACTTTTTTAGAAAAAAAAATTATGTTAGTGATAGGTAATATGTTTTAAATATCAACCAGAAAATGATCAATAGTTTAAAATCTCATCAGAAAGAAACTAGATAGTTTAGGATGTTTTATAAGCCCTTGAAATTATTTTCTTTGCTGTCTAGTTCAGTAAATTTGATTTGTAACCAACAATAATGTGGATAGAAAGCAAAAGGGAAAAAAAATAAAATTAGTATGCTGTCTCAACTCTTAAGACTTTTCTGTTATTTAACTTGATCCTGTTTTGGAGATACCATCTTTTACTTTCTTTTCTTTTCCATATTGAAATTGTAAGGTGTGCCTTCAGCATAGTTGTTTGTCGTTGTTTTTATGTGTTTCTGTGTCAGTTGCACATCTTTAGATAACTGATTTTGTTAAATGCTAGCTTTCATCACCCAGTACTTAAGTAATAGTGCGTTTAGCAAACCATGATTAGTATCAAAACCCCACCTCGAATAGTAACTAAACAATAGAGTTGTTTATGATCTTGGAATTTTTTAATTATTATTAAGTAATTAATGTAGGTGAGATGAGTTAACATGTGTTAAAAGATGAGAGGGTAAATTTAAGGTAAAAAAATACCACATCAAATAAAAACTAAAAATAAAGATATTTATAAGCCATTGTAATATTTATTTTGTTACTGAGTTAAATAACTTTGACTTGTAACCAAGTGAGGCATTAAAGTGGTTGAATGTAGATTTGAGGTAATCAAGTGAGGTGAGAACCTTGGTGTGGTCAACTATGGTGCAATGTGTGCCCCTC